AAATTAATTACATTTAAATAGTATTCAGTGAATATCCGGCATTGAACTTTGAAACTTATTATTATATCATTAATTGCTTAACAATCGAAACGATTCACAATTTTAAAGTCACGAAAATTCTCCTTCAAAACGCGAACTTAAATTTTGAAGCTTTCAAATTCTTTTCAGAACTTTAGCAATTAACTTGCAAGTTGCAACGATAAATTGAAATGTTTAAAAAATTTTCTTACAGTTTTTTAAAATGATTCGAATTTTTATGTAGAATTTCGGGAGTCTACATTGCCCGGAATACTTTAAATTATGCTTCAGCATAATTTGAAGCTCCCATGTGGAGCTGCCTCATCTGCAATTTTATGTTGCTTTCATTAATCTCATCTTCGAATGATCCTTTTGCAATCGACGACAGACTGAACTGGAGAGAATCATACAAACAAAAAAATTCTCTCGTCGACTATGATCATCTTGGTGATTTTTGTCTTCTCTCTCGCGCACACACAACATGAACAGAGAAAAGAAATAAACAAGCGAGAAAATATTGAGCAACAGGAGGAAGGCAAAGCAAGCAAGCGACCAAGCAAAATCAGATGTGAAGTAAAGCTTGAGCAGTACAGTTCAGTTTTGTAAGTTTTGCTGCTTCGGATGGTGTCGTGATTTTGTGAATTAACTGAATTAATTCAATCATAATAAAAACATCGTAAGCAGGCGCTTTGAAAAGTGTTTTAAAGTGAATATCTAGATTTCGTCATGTCAAAAGAATTGCATTTGCATGATAACGCGGTGTAGAAACGGAAGCTGAGAACTAGGAAAAAACTGAGAGATTGAGTCAGGCCATCAGCATACTTGAAGTTGAATGGATGAGAAATCAATGCGCTGATAGTAGCAAGCAATAATATTAATGAAAATTGACGATTAATGTTTGTGCAAAGATAACTGAAAACTCGAATAGAAGTGTCGTGATTAATTGATTCATTTTATTTGTCACATGTCTCCTTTTTCTTTCGTAAACAGATGCTTTGCAAAAGACAACATGTGTATAAAGGGAAAAAATATGAGATAAATACATAAATGGGTCGTTTTGTGGAGCAGCTTGAGAAGCGCACAAAATTTTCTTCATGTTGCTTCTTTTTTTTTCGGAACATATTTAAGCATCCATGACCTTGCGTGATCTTTCGATTTATTATTGGCAAGAAATTTCAAGACATTTCTCATTTTCTAAATGTCCAGAAGCGAGAAGAGAAACACTTTTCATAACATCGCAAACAAAACGACACAACGAACTTCAATAATGATCGCAAAGCATTGAAGCAAGAAAATTGCCGAAGATTAACAAAAATGGGATTTTCGGTTTTTAGGTTGTTGTCGTTGTTTGACCAAAAGGCGATTTTAATAATCTGGACACATACCGGTTCACTGTTCACTGTTGTTCACATCACATCTGATTAGAAGCTTCGAAACCGAGATGAAACGACAAAAAAAATTTGTTTCTTTTCTCTCCCCTTTCTGCGTTTGATTTTCTGATTTATTTAGTAGCTTCTTTTTGGCATCGAATGGAATTTCGGTGGAATTGGAATTAATTTCTTGTCGAATGGTTGTTCATGAATATTTAACATCGATTTCTTATTTTTAGCTTCACGCGATTCTTTCATATCAAAACGCAACCAAACGCGCTGATTTGATTCTGTAAAAGTTTCTTTTTATGAAAAAGTAAAGCAAAAATTCTTCTATTTTGTTGTTTATTCAGAAGATTCCAGTGGCAGATAATTCTCAGTGATTAGTGACAGATATTTAAGAGATGGACTGTTTTGGTAGTTGTTAAAGGTGAAAAGATAAACAATTCAAGATACAAAATCGTGCCTAGAAATTTTATAAGTAGGAAGGAAAAAAAACTCTTTTGGTTGATCACGAAGCAGATAACGAAGAAATCATGACAACATCAGCGAAAATTCTCGCGCTTTGCATATTCATAAGTTGTGGCATTAATCTTGCAACGGCAGCTTCATCACAACCGGTAAGTGTCAAGTTCAAGAATAAATGAAGAATGTGATATGTCATGTGAGGAAAATTGATCGGAATAATTAATTATAATGACTCTCGGTGTTTCTACAACAAACTTCAATAATTTTTAACGAACAAAACTCAAACGTGAATTCAGGTTTTTCCCATCTTATCTACTTAAATGTTTATTATCTGACACCATCAAACCATTTAAGATCACTTCCCATCCATAATAGTTTGTTCTGACACGTCATAAAGTAAAGTAAATCGTTTCAGATGAAACTTGACAATGATCTCAGCTCAAAAATATTTTCATCTTTATCGTCGAGTTTATGAGATTTGATTATTTATGTGAATATATGGAAAGAGATGAAATAAATTTTTCCTACTGTTAGAGTTGAAATTCGTGTCTGATTGCGATTGAAATTAATTTGTGATGTGACGATTGATTTAATTTAAAGCATTTAAAGCACCTGGTGATTGTGATTCCAAACATAACATAACTTTTCAATGTTCATGAAGAGCGTAGAAATGAAATTTATTATCTGTTTATCTTTCAACCATCACCACATTCAATGGTCATCATCATCACAAAATTGAATTTGAGTCTCAAACATGCGCGCGATTTAATATCATAAATAGACGCTCAACTTAGATTAACTAATAAATATTCTCTCGTTTGCTCTATCTTGATCATCTCGATATGCTTACATCTGGATGGAAAGTATTTAATGTAATTGTGATCATTTTGAAACACTTGATTGATGGATTTACTTCTTAAAACATAAATTTGTTTCATCAAGAAAAACTGTCTTGGACATCCTACGCATATACACACAAACACATTCACACATGCATATCAAGACAAATTGTTGTCTGGTGAAGTGAATGAAGCTGGTATAAGAATATCCCATTAAAAAGGTGTAAAACATGAAGATGCTTCAGAGATAACAGTTGGGTTTGTCCCTTTACCATGTCACACAGTTCTCTTTATTCTCTCAAGCAAATCTTACAACTCTGACTAACTTTTTATTGTGTCCAACAAAATTTAACTCACAAAATGTTGTTAAATGGACGCAAAACAAAAAGTTTACAAAAAGCATATCAGATGAGAAGAGAACTGGCAAAATAAAATAAAATAAAATAAAAATATTAAGTGTGAAAGACTGAACACAACAAAGATGTACATATGAAAGGATTTTTCTTCTTTCCCCACGGGTTTTCTCGGTTTCTTCTCTTCTTTCACTTCCCAGTCACTTTATGTTACTTTTCGATCGTTCATCACACGGCAGAGAACAACAACAAGAAGACAAAAGCAGAGTCTAAAAGTCTGGCACGACCGATCGAACATTTAATTTGTGTTGGTGTCTTGTTGTGGGATTCTTACTTTTTTTTATCTTTTTCCTCTCCTTTCTGGTTCATCTTCATCATGACTTTAACTGCTTATGTTTGTATGTGGTGGATGTTGTGGATTATGATTCTCACAGTATTTGAGAGAGATCATATCTACCACTAACACTAAATCATGATCAGCAACACCGTTTTCAAATCAATGAGAGTCATCTGAGTTTCAGCTTACTTAGAAGAAAGTTTCTATTTACTTTAAAGAAGTTTTTTTCTTGCAAAAACATAAACTGCGTTTCATGATGATTTGAGTCGTTAGAGAGGAGAAAGGAAATTGGCTAAAGTGTCATTAATTAAAGAGTCAATAAATACTTTATAGAACATGTACAAAAGACAAGACGAAAAACATTTACGAAGATTTAAAACAAAGAACGATTTAAGATGACGAGGAAGTGCGGGGGTGGAAGCAAACGAAAGCTGAGATGAAATTTGATGCGCGCGTCCGAAAATAAAATTAAAAGAAAAAAAAAGACTTTTTGAAGCTTCTGGAGTTCGCGATGAGATTTGAGAAATATGCGAAAGAGTTTGGCGCGGCGCCTTCAGGTTTTATTAGACAAACGAATATTTATTAATATGCTTTTTTATTCGTTCCTTTCTTGTTTTGATCAATTTGTGAGCTGTTTGAAAAAGATAAGTAAAATTGAGATTTCGTTTTATTGAATTTTAATTTATTATCGATGACTGAATGGGATTGAAACTTTTATTGATTTCATTCTTCTCTTTCTTGTTCTCATCAGTCTTTTTTTTCATCTTATTGATGTCGACCTCATCTACTGAACCATCATTTAATGGCATCTGCTGATTAATTCAGAACAAATTGTTCGCTCTTGTCTCGTACATAAGTACGAATGCTTCCGTTCATGAGAATAATTCACTTTTACTTTCTAAAAATAGTCATCAACGTAATTCTCTAATCAAAGAAATATTTTTGAGGCTTTTTTATGATCCAAAATTTGGCAACAAAGAAAAGAATAATAAAATCAAAAGGGAAGCAGACAAGTTTATGATCAACAATAAAGTATCTCAAACTAGTCGCTTAATCATGGAATTTCATCAAATTAAATATTATTAATGTGACGCAGTGCACAAGTTCGCTTAATGTTTTTTTTTCTCCTTCATCAATCAAATCTCAATTCATTCCATCGCCACAAGTCAACGTCGTCATTGAAAGTCGTTTTCAAATTAACAGCTTGCGGATTACTTAAGCAATAAGAAGAAAAATAAATTCCAGTCAAAGATTCATTCCGCGTTCTAGCGCCACCGCCACAAGTGATCACCACTAGACTCTTGTTATTTTTTGTTTTTATTTTTAGCTTCCGAACGAAAAGAAATAAAAAAATGAAAAATAAACACACACAAGATACTTAAAATATTCATATGAGAAAAACATACAAAAAAAAGTGGTGGAGTCGCTAATCGTTTTGTTAGCACGACGCCGTGGCGAGACGATCGCGAGTGGCAAAAGACTGTAAAATTGTCATTAACATTATGCGATAAACTGTCGTCTTTAGATGACTCAATGAACAATTCAAACCATTCATTGCTTGGGATTAAGAGTCATGTGATGATCCTCGCTTTTATTTATTTTAAACATCATTTAAATTTAATTAATTCTCGTTAATTTCTTTTTAAAGATTTCCGAATGTGCCGCTAAGGGTGGCGAATGTGATGAGTCAAAAAACCGGCTTGTTTGCGGAACAGATGGAAAGACTTACGCTTCACGTTGTCATTTGATTCGAGCACAATGTAATGGCTATCGAGTGAGTTTAAAACATCGGGGAACGTGCAAAGGTGAGAATCAATCAAATTATCGAAGTCAATTAAAAAAAAATTAATTTAATGTTAGACGCGTGCTTTTCGTCACGATCCTATGCCCTTACACAACGTCCGAAGATCAAATTCGTTCCGAAATGTCGCGAGGATGGATCCTACGCCCCAATTCAATGTTTAGAGAACAATGGATGTTGGTGTGTCAACGGTCAAGGAAAGCCAATTCCAAAGACTCATACAAAACATGGCCGACCTAATTGTGCTGGCAAAGGCAGTCATAAGAGATCGTCACCAAATAGCAACAGCATGCCGAGAAGAAAATGTTCACCTCATGATCGCGTTTCTTTCAACACTGCACTCACAAGTATTTTCCACTCTGAATATTCAAAATCGAGATCAGCACATGGCAACATCGGCGATCATCAAGTGGTTGAGTGGAAGTTTAAATTGCTTGATTTGAACAGAAATAATATTTTGGAGAAACACGAGTATCAGGGACTTCGAAAGATAGCAAAAACAGTAAGAATCTCATCAAATATTTATCTCTCTTTAAATCATTTAATTACAACTTTTAACCAGGTCGTTAAGCCGAAGCGATGTGGCCGAAGATTTGGAAAATATTGCGACACCAATAAAGATTTAAATATAAGTCGGGAAGAGTTCCATCAATGTCTCAGCAAAGATATTCAAAGACGTAAGTAAATGTTCGGTAGAATCGTTTCTTTCTTAATTATGCTTCTTTTCTTCCTCTTGCTCGTTAAAAAAAAACTTCGCTTCAACTTCTCTTATGAATGTGAGATGATTGTTCACACTTAATGTCTGCATTTTGTCGTGTCTAATATTTATTAAACGAAACTTTGCTGTTCCACCAAAAAAAACACTTCCAAACATCGCAATTTCTAGGTCGAATGAATGAATGAATTGACTTATGGTTGGTTTGTTATCTATTTGCACACTAGATTTGATATTTTTTCTACACTCAATTGCTTCAACATGCACCGGAATTAAATTACTTTCTGCTTGACACTCGTACGCATTTAATTTATGCTTCGTACGAGTCTCATAGATAAGAATATTATTATTTGCTGTTATCGTGTGCAAAAAATAAAAAAGAAAAATTATTTAAATCAACAAAAACTAGACATTTTGGCTCTTGATATGAATTTTGAAATTCCAAACAAATTTGTAAACAATTTAATGGCTTGACAAGATTGCAAAATGTTAAATGTTAGAACATTTTTCCTTCTTTTTTTTTTTCTTTTTTGATATTCGATGAAACGTAAAATAGTATTTTTTAATAAGAAGTTGTTATCAATTTATGTATATCATAAATATATGTACACAGATATGTCAGCTCGCGGTGGTGGTGGTATGTTGAACGGTCTCAATTCCGACGATTTCGATGACGACGATTATATTGATGAAGACTCCGACGAACTTATGGCAATAAGAAACACGGGAAATAGATTAGGTTTGCAACCAATTCGTACGACTGATGATTCACAATATCAATCAGTGTTTTGTATGTATTAAAATCTGACGATCATCAATGAAATGAAATATTTATACATAAATATAAATTTTATATGCACATAAATGAAAATTGAATTTCGCAAACCAAAAAACGATTCGACAAACGTTAAATTGGCCATAAAAATATTTTCGAGATTTATTTTTTACTCTTTCGCTGAGTGAAACAAAAACAAAAGTTTTAATTAACAAAATCAAGTGGAACATTCACATGTTAGGTTAATTCTTTATTTTTGGTTTAATCGATGATAAGATCAACATGAGAATGTTCCATAAATATTTAGTTATTTGGGTATAATCTAACTTTATAATGAACTAATCTTTTTCATATGTGTGCGTGAGTTAATTAAATTAACGAATCTTAAAAATTAATCTTTTCTGAGATCATTGAATATTACATTTCAAAAGAAAAACAAACTTTTACTCGAAAGGGCTTCGTGATAAAACGTCGCTAAACTTGCAAAATGAATCGAATGGAAGTTCAAGAGATCATGACGAAGAAGCAATTGATTGCCTTAAGGATCGTAAAAATGCACTTGAAGATAAAAGTGTAAGTTTGTTAATTAAATTTAGTTAAGGAAATAATTGAAAATTTTCATGATTCAATTTAGGATCAATTATTCCTTCCTGAATGCACCGTTGATGGAAGATACAAAAGAGTTCAATGCTATCGGTCAACTGGCTACTGTTGGTGCGTTAATGAAGACACTGGAAAGCCAATTCCTGGTAGCAGCACAAAAGATGAACAACCAAAATGCGATTCTTATGTTCCAGTTCGAACCATGCAAGGTTGCCCACAGAAAAATGAATTTCTCAAAGATCTCAAAGAATTCCTCAAATCTCAAATAACTTCCAGCACAAATATTGGGTAATTTAAACTTCTCATAAATGAATATGAGACAATCGATTTATCGTCTTCTTTCCTTAAAGTGCTGACAACACAAAATGGGGAACAGATGATGAGAAAATTGCAACACTTAGTTTCGTTTTATTGGATAAAAACAAGAATAAAGTTTGGGAAAGACGAGAATGGAAAACTTTTAGAGAACTTGTGTCAGCGACAAAGTAAATTAAAATTTAAAAAAGAGAGAAAATTAAAACTACTTCCAATTCCATGAATTTAATTCCAGAAAACTTCGTCGATGTGGAAAGAAAATGCCTCGATATTGCGATGTTAACAACGACAAGAAAATAACTTTGTCAGAGTGGCTTAATTGTTTGCAAACACAGCGTGTTCAAAACGATCAAACAAGGCCGTCATCACATGTGGAATTAAAGCAGCCGACACAAACGAAACTTAAAGGTATCAACCCTCTCGAGTCCATCCTTAAAGCTGATTAATTAAGTAATGAGATTTAAATGTGTCGATGTAAACGTTAGACATTTAAGATTTTTTATTTGTAAAAGCTTCTTTAATTATATTTTTTTTATTAAGTGTGCCATTAAAATGAAGCGACAAAAACTTGATCCAGTGATAACAAAAAAAATGGTTTCCATGTGAACTTTTCATTTGCAACCATCCGATAAATTTTTGTTGAGATTTTTATCATGCAGTATTAAGAAACATTAATTTCTTTTAAACATGGAAGCACACTTCCCACTTCTTTAGTTGTTTACAAAAATATATACAAAACGGGCGGGAATTGCGTGTGATAATGAATGTGAAAAATAAAGCCCGTAAGAGTAGTTGAGTGTAACATTAATTTTCATTTTAATTAACATTGACTTTAAGTGGATGTAAAAGCTTCAGATAATTTCTTTCTCAACTTAATTGAACTTTAATTGTTTAGAAATGTAAGTTTAAGGTAGTAAGAAGTTCTTTTGAAAGATTAACATTTCGAGAAAGTTCTTCGATATAATGGAGAATTAAGTTTTATGTTTACAAGTTGTAAGTGAAAAAAATATTTTAAAAGCTTTGAAAGCTCGTGCTGAGCTTTTATATCGATTTTCATTTTATTTTCCTCTGATTTTGATGTTTTGTCAAATTAACTTCGCAAATATGATTGAGATGAATAAAGAAAAGATTTTTTTTTTCCATTAATTTTATTTTGATCAGTTTATTGATGAGATAAAATTAGAATAAATTTGTGTAACTTAACATTTTGTGTGAGTTATTTCAGGTAACAAAAATTCAACAAATTTCAACAGAAACGACATTAAATTTCTTCAAACTTTAATCCATTAATAACTTTGTAAGATGTTTTATGCGTTTTTTGATTTCAGATATTGATCTTTGCCAAACTCCCTCTCTGATGTATAAAAAGAATTTAATTAACTTTTTGTGGCTCGTGTTGTGTTTTATCTTCATCAATTGATTTCTCTTCGATATCAACAAGAAACTTCTTTTGCTTCTCAAGTAATCGTAATTCACTTGGCTTCAGAATTCCACGTAAAATTGTATCGTAAGAAACATTGAGGCCCGTCTTCTTCATCTTCTCATACAATCTCCAACATTCCTTGAAGAAAAGATTTTTTATTATTGAATATTCAATTCGAAACTCGAAATAATTTCACTTGTTCTTTTGGCGTTTGATCATCCTGAGATTCTTTATCTTCTGCCATTTCATTTGAAGCAATTTTTTTATTTCTTGTCTTTTCCGCAATCTCATTTTCTTCTCTAAGTTTGTTCGATGAATTTATGTCGTTTTCATTCTTATTTTCCATCGCATTTTTATCATCATCACTGAAAGGGAAATAAATTTAGATCAATAAATGAATTTTAATTAAATTAACTAACTTGGTTGTCAGGTAAAGATTGCTGATTTCCTGTCCAAAGAGACTTCTTGTGTTTCTCATTCGACCAGTAAATGGAATATTACGACGATTGTTCAACAAATCCTTCTTCTGCGTTGTCGATTGTTGTTGTAAAAAGCTGTCATCATCTTGAAATGAAACTTTAAAATCAAAAGAATTATTTGAAGGTAACTCAAATGAATCTTCGAGCCGTTACCTGATTTTCTCAACATGCCACTTCTTGCTCTTGGAACTTCAATCTTTTGAACAGGTTGTGGTTGAACTGGTGGTGTTGGATCTTCCTTCTCTGAATCACTTCCCCCTGAGCTTAACATTGACACAAGTGTTTCAATTCCAACTTGGTCGCATCCTAGAACCGATCTCGACCTGGATGAGAGTTGCTTTGACTTGCCAGAAGATTTCTGTAAAGTTGGTTGTGAAATATTTTTACGAGTTGCCAAATCTTCCGGCATTTCATCAGGTGAATCATTGATATCGTCCTTGTCCCTATTTAGTGTTAAATTTATTCTAATTTTATAAAATTGAGAGAAAATTTGATGAGTTGAAGCAAGATGATTTTGATTATGAAGTCTTATGATGTTTTTACATGCCAATTGAATTTATGTCAATCACCATCACTAACCTTATGATTTTCTTCTTTGTCTTCGGTTTTCGTTTGTTTTTCTGATCTTCCATGTTTAAAGGACGAATTGGTGCTGACATGATTCGACGACTCGCTTGAAATTGAGCTCGACGTGCACTAACAGAAAGCTTTCCATTAGGAACTGTTGATGGAATTTCTGAGTTATTTACCGACTTGGCTGCAACATTCGTCGATAAATTTGTCGATGCTTTATTGTTGAGCTGAAAGTGAAGGAAATTGTTCCTGAGATATAAAACATTATTTATATTTAGAAGACAAAGAGAATAATCAATAACATTGATAACAAATCCTTGACAGTGCCCTTTAATTTTTCTCGTTCTAAGAAACTTTCACTACTCTGAGTACGATATGCTTTCAAAGTTCTTGCGCTAAATGTGTTCACTTGTAAAGTATTTTTGAGGGTAAGAAATTAAAGAAACTTTCTTCTACTTAATCGCTATTAGCGTGGGTGATATTAAAAGTTGGATGGTTATATTATGCAATTATAATTTTTTCTTCTTTCGAAAAATGAATTTCAAGTTTCCTTTCAAAGTTAAATAAACTTAAACATTTCTCAATTCAAATGGAGAATGGAGTTATGTAAAGCATATAAAAATTGAAGTTTGGTTTTCAAGGGGTTGTTGTCAGTTACGAGTTTGACTTAAGGTTCATATTTTGTAGTTGAGTGTTTTGTTTTCGCAACCTACCGAGGTAGGAAAATCAATATCGATTTTAGGTCAAAAACAGTTGAGCTTCTTTTGATTTTCATGACAGAAAATCTACGATTTGAAGAAAAAGTTTTTCCTTTCTACCTCAATAAACTTTCAATTGTACGTACTTATTTAGTATGACTTTCACATAATTTACAACAGCTGGTAATGAGTCAACGTAATTTGTGAAACGAAACTCAATGTAGATAACCCAATGACATGGTTTGCAAATGGAGTAGCAATTCGTTGTCTTGTGAGAAGTTTAACGTGAACTTGTGTCGATTTTCGATAGAATAATACGATTTAAAAAAAATTATATTCCTCGAGCTTTTCTACAAAACTTTCAGTCAGAAAATCGCGATTAAAGGAAATGGAAAAATTTACAAAAAGAAATAGGAAAGCTTCAAATGTATTTATTTATGATTTGATATTTAAACATTCTTTTTCCAGACATGCTAATTTAGAAAATTTCTGTGAAGATTGTTAGGTTTTCCAACATATTTAAGGAATTTCAAACTCCAATCTTTGTTAATTATTTCAAGATCAATTTTGGTTTGTAAGTTTTTCCTGACTCTCAAAATCTTCAAAACTTTTAAATGAATTAAAATAGCGCGATTAAATTTAAAAGTTTTAAAGCTGAGCTGGCAGCCACACATGAAATAATTCATTTTCATGTTTCTCACACCAATTTTAATTCATTTTAAACACGAATTTTGAAATTTAAACTCACCGCATATTGCTCGGAATTTCCCGGTGTCTCGTTGTCACTGATTGCATCATCATGAACATCTTGTGATAGAAAAATGTTGATATTAACACGAGTCTTTGCTCCTTCGCCAACACTTTTCATTTTGCCGTTCAAGCAATCACTCAGCAATTCCTGTCGGCTGTCCAAATAAACATTTCACATCGTCGACAAAAATTTTATGAATGAAAGAAAAAAGTAAAGAAAAGTCATCGTACAATTATTGAACGTGTAATGGTTGAGAGTAATAAATATTTCTTTCTAGGAATAAAACTTGTAAAACATATGAGAACACGCGAGGCTTTGTAACGCCTTCTGAGAACAAAATAAATTTCACGCAACAATATTTATAAAAACAAGAAGTTTAGAAGTTTTTGTGGAATTTCCAATCTCCTTGTGTGACTTACTTGCTTAAAGAACTCGTGCTGATGCTACTCGCAGCGAACTGTGCGCGCTTCCTAACGGCACTGGTTGATACAATCTTAAGATTAGGCTCGGTAAGGGAGTTCGTTGAATTTCGCCACAAAACGTTGTTAAAGTTAATGGGAGCTGATGACGATGGAACGTGTTTCAGTCCCAACGTTACATGCTCAACTGATACCTGTTTTCGAAGAATTTTCTTATTGTCATTCGTTTGCTTATCATTCAAATCGATTGATTTTTGTTTTCGGAATGAATTTTTTGAACTACTCGAATATTGTTGTCTTAAGGTTGACATTTCTTTACTTTTTTATTTCCTTTCCTGTGTCACTCGAAAAATTTTTTTATTTGTTTTACGAATTGGAGAATTCGCGATTCACCCAAATACATTCATTGTTTTATTGCGATCCAATAATATATTGTTAAGCAATTTTTACGATTTGTATGTTAATTCTGTTGTCGGAAAAATAAAAAAATGAGAGACACGGGAAAGAGATTAGAATTCTACTTCACACGCGAATTTTCTACGAAAAACAACCATCGAAATGAAAACATGATGCACGGTAATGTTTATATTCCATCATTGTCTGCTCGATCTCGAGCAATGCCCTTTCGCGACTGAAACATAAATTTTCAACAAAAAATAAACTTTCACACCGTTACAAATTGACTGAAGCTTTCTTCGCTGCGCTTAATGACAGCGCATAGACGATTACGAACATTTCAACGATAGAACAAAGCTTTCATGTAAGTTTGTGTTCAACTCCTTAATGCTTTCCACGTTCGTGGTGAAAAGCTTTGATCGTAAATTTATTGCCTTTGTAGATTTTTGGTTTTGTGTGTTCACGTTTGATGACCTTTTTATCGATTCATAAATATTTACGCGAGTAATGTTACATATTCTCTGTTCCAGTTCTAACTTTCATGATCAATTCTCATCGATTCTTATGAAAGAAAATTTTCTATTTCATCTTATTATTCAACTTATTTTTAAATTATTTATTACTGAATCGCAAGCGAATGACGCAATTCTCTTTAACCATCTTAAATCATCCAAACGATTAGAAAGGATAACAAAATCCAAAATTTATTCCGTGTAACGATGAAACCATGGCAATAACTGCTTTCGTTTTTATTTACAAGAAAACTTATTAGCGCTTCGATTGTGAAACTTTTTCTTCATTCTTATTTATTTATTGCTGTCTTTGTTTGCACACGCTCAACTTATTTGGAACATCAAAAATACATTTCGCTAAATGCATCGTCAAAAATCGAGAGATTTAATTAATGGTACTGGTTTGGTTTCTATCCTAGAAATTATTCCTGACGTCGTTTAATCAACTGAATTTAAGTCAAACATTTTCTTGCGCTCATAAATTGATCGATTCTCATTCATTCATTTTTTCCTTTTATTTACGGTCTGATGTTCAGATTACATGCTTTTCGTCGTTAATAACATTTTCCTTTGATAATGAAAAGAAAATTGTTTCTCATCAATTGAAATTCACGATTTTTTATGCTTTTTTTACTGGCAATATTTTATATGAATTTCACAGTTTATAGTTGAAAACGGCAGGAGAAAAAGTCGAAAGAAAACATTTCAAGGTTGAAAGGAAACATTTCTTGGTAAAATATTTAATAACTTAATAAGTACAACGCGCAACATGTTAAAGGCTTTAATGTTTCGAATTTATTAAGGGAAGCAAAAACACAATATTAACTCATCAAATTTTATTTTTCACAATCTCAATTAAACTTAAAACTATTTACAGCCAACAAGACAGTTGAGTTTTTCTTAACGTATCAATAAAGTTAATTAATTTAGACATCGTACCATTGCGGAAGTCGATAAGTGAAATTGTCACTTTGTACAATGGTCAGCTTTGGGCCATAAAATGGAATGATGTATTTAGATCCATCAGCTGGTCCAACGATTTGTGTTGCTATCAAAATCACATCAATAAGTTGACCCAAAAACATAAAGCCAAGAGTGAAAAGTTTAAAACATCCAATTCCATAGTAGCCTAAATAAAATCGATCGATGCCAAACATTCCAAGAAAAATTGACAGAATTAAAGCAACATCGAAATGTTTTCCATTTCTGGAAATATTTTTTGTGTTAATTGCAGATCTTCAAATGTTTAATTTAATCTTACGTGTAGTCACAGGGAATGGGTGCATAAAAAGTATTGTTGCCAGTCTCAGAGCATACAATACCTTCCGAAGCAAGACATCTTACTGTAAAGAAAGAATAAAAACCCATAATTTTCTTATAATCTCAACTTACTCACCGATAGCTTTTCCTTCCCTTGTGCAACCTACTACACTTTGTGTTTTCTCATCAATAAACTTATAGTTGTTGTCAGGATCTGGACATAGAAACTGACCAATTCTAAGTTTTGTACAATCTGTAGCAGATTCTAATGCAATTGGTAGTAGAATTACTAGGAATACAATTTTTTTAAGATCAAACATCGTTCACGAATTTAATTTGTTTTCTTTCTATCTCTTTCGTTCGTTAAATTGCGAAAGAATTTGTCTCTTTCTCTCATTTGCTCAAAACATGAAATGCCCACATTTGATTTCCGTTAAAAATCATGAAACAAGTTTAATTAAAATTAAAGTGAAACTTTCTTTTTTAAGAGCTAAACTTTTATTACTTCACAGAAACTCTAATCAATCAAAACATAAACCAAATTCAAAAAAGTATATAAATTAAAAAGTAGAAGTCATATGAGATTGGGAGCGTAATTAAACTTGTTATTGTCTTCATTCTTCAACATCTTGCACTAATACCACATTTTCTTCAGTTTCTTCGATAATGATAAAAGAAATCTAGAGGCGAGGAGTATATGAAGCCATATTTATTGTTGAAAAAAATACGCATTAACACTTACCTCAGGATGATCAAATTTTATATACCTAAACTCGTCAGTAAATGTTAAAATATAAAAGGAGAAAATAGTCGCAACAATCCATTCACTAACAGAAGAAGCTACATGGAACCTCCATCCGCCATCTGAAGGATACCAATGTCGAGGATCACTTCCTTCAAAGAGTATGTGAGAAATAACTCCACAAATAGCAACAATCAAGAAGAAAATAAGACAGAAAACCGATAAGATCATTCGATACAAAGCTTTCTTCAATGTAATAAATGGCTCTAAACGGTAAGAGATCAATGATTGTATCCAAAAGTAAAGTGTCCCCATGCCAAAACAAGTAAATGCACCAACATAATGCATTATGCGTACATTTGTCTCTTGAAAGTTTGCAACGATTGAGATCCCGTAGCATGAAGCTAGTCCAATGTAAAGACTTTTCTTGTTTAAATTTCCTATAATTCCTTTTAGAACTTCATGATGTTCCATCACATGAATGATTTGTCGATATCTGGTATAGATTGTAAGTCCAACTGTGGAATAATTATTATTAAGTATCATTTTCTTGACTAAATTAATTTTAAAATAATATTACGCAAAACACAACCAGTATTGATTAGCTGTCCAAAAATACAACTTTCAGGACTATACGTTGCTGCATCAGATATGTAAGGAACGTCTGGAACAACATGATTTTGCACAATCGATGCAATATATCTGCACGAGATGACATCATCCAGATTTAAAGGATTTTCTAATTAATTATTTAAACTTTATTGACACTTACGTTCCGATAAAAGTTGTTTGAAACAAAAGAAAGCAAGACACTGGTAATAAATATATTTTCGACATTTTTTTATTAATATTCTAATGCTTCTCTCTTCGCAAATGAAGAAGTTCTTTTCATATTAAAAACAGTGCAAGGCGTGAAATGACTTGTATCAGACAAATGATAATGAATCACCGCTCGAAATACTTGTAAACAAACAGGCCAATTCAGAAAAATGTTTCGTTTGGAAAACGTTCAATTTGGGCAATCTTGAACGATTTCGCAATCCAACTTTAGTTCAAAGACCCTCAGTATAGTCAAAAGGCCCTCGACAAAATAAAAGAATAAAAAAATTCTCTGAATTTTTAAAATTTAAATAAAATTGATTCGTCCTTTGATACAAATGATGTTAAAATAATTAAAGTGTTAAATAGTTGTTAATAAATCATTATGACCACAATTGAAGAACTACGCTCTGAAGTAGAGCGATTAACACGCGAATTAGATTTGCAAAGTTCCGAAATCTCTCAATCGGCTAAATATGGTCTCGGTTTGCTTGAAGAAAAGTTATCGCTTCAATCAAAATGTGAAGAGCTTGAGAATCTTTATGAAAATACAAAACATGAGTTGGATATTACTCTTGAGGTAAGGAATTTCTTAGAAAAATTATTTTTTTTTCTCACGTAGTTCTTAAGTAGATTTTTTACGCCACTTAACATTAGCTCACTACTTGACATTTAGTTTGGCTTCTTTTTGTCATCATTAATCTGAAATCATATATTCATATTGTGGTTTTTCTTAACAGTTGCTGCTAATGTGTTATTTGTAAACATTCATAAATTTTTGGTCGATGTTTTTATGCATCGCAATGTCCTTGTTGCGGAAGAGAGAAGGAGAGTGTGTAAAGGAGAGAAAAAGAAAACTGCGTGTTGCTAGTCAACTGTTTTGTCCAAACCCATAATTAAGAGCTTATGTTTATTTTTCATAATGAATTACGACTAATGAATATTATAGAAAAGGGATTGGCATAAAGTAAAATGATCAAATTTAAGCAGAATTTCTCTCGAACAAAATCACCTGAAAACACAAAAGTTCACCTATTTAAAAATGTTAAAGTCTGACACATCATTCGTTTTCAAACACACATTGATGTTGTTTTTGTTTTTTTCACCTTTTATTTTCTTTTTTTTACTTCTGTCTGTTGCGGGTGCATGACGTACTGTAAAAATATGTTCTCATTCGTTACGATTACTCATTGATGAAGTGAGCGGCTTTTAAAAGTTGCATCATCAGAGATTGGTCCATCTGGAAAGTTTCCGGGTGTAGCAGAACGAATATGATTAAGCTACTCTGCCTTTAATTATTAATTATTTGATTTTATCAGTAAATTAATTTTCGGATTTGTTTCACAGGCTCTTACAAAGTTTCAATCGAGTCAAAAAGTCACAACGAAAACTGGGATCGAGCAGGAAGATGCATTGCTCAATGAATCAGCTGCAATAGAAACATCACTTAATTTACAAATTCTCGAACTTGAAAATGAAACGAAACAACTTCGGCATGAACTTGAAAGAGTTACAAATGAACGTGATCGAATGCTTCAAGAAAACACAGAAATGGGTCGTGATAAATCGGGCACAGAAGTTGAGAGATCGAAACTTAAAGCTGAGCTAAAAGAAATGAAATTTCGTGAGACGAGAATGCTTCAAGATTATTCAGAACTCGAAGAAGAAAATATAACACTTCAAAAGCAAGTTTCGAGTTTGAAAAGCTCACAAGTAGAATTTGAAGGCGCTAAGCATGAAATTCGTCGATTAAGTGAAGAAATTGAAGTGTTGCAATCTCAAGTTCAAGATCTTGCAAATTTAAAGAAAATTGCTGAAACCCAAATGGAAGAAGCACTGCAAGCATTGCAGTCAGAACGTGAAGCCAAATATGCTCTTAAGAAAGAACTTGACACTCACATCAATCGTGAATCTATGTACAACATCAGTAACTTGGCTTACAGCATTCGAGGAATGGAAGACAGTGTCGGGGGAAGTGACTTAGAAGAAGATTTCTCGACACTTAAGCGACTTGAAGCTGACTTGGGTAATGATTTGAAGTCACCTGACGGAGCTAAAGTTGATCTCTTCTCGGAGATTCATCTGAATGAATTGAAAATGTACGAGAAGCAACTGGAAACGCTTGAAAGTGAGAAAGCAAATTTAACTTCAAATCTTCGCGATGCTCAGCAAAATTTAGACAAAAGTCAAAACGACTTACAGAATTTCATTGCCAAAGTTACACTTTTAGCAGCTCATGTTGATTCTTTACATTTCCTGCGTAAACAAATCGAGAAGGAAGATCAATTGAAGAGCTCAACGGATGATCAGAAACAGAAAATTATTAACGAGAAGCTCAATGAAATTGTTCATCAATACACAAGTTGGTTCACTTTGAGTTCGAAAGAAATTGATGTGTTGAAGTCAGATATTAATGAACTTCAGAAAGAAATTGCTTGCAATGATGCAATGTCATTATTACGGAATGAAATTACCAATTTGAAGAATAAACTTCTTATGACGGAACAAAAGACTTTGGATCTTCATGCTGATGTCAAAACACTTTCAGTTTTATCCCAAAATGCCGGTCAAAGTTTGAACTCAGCACGAACAACTTTGGTGACATTGAGCGATGATTTAGCTCAACTTTATCATCTCGTTTGTACTGTTAATGGTGACACGCCGAATAGAGTTGTTTTAGATCACAAGACAGAAGATTTATCATTGGACAACGACTCGCTTAGTGCAATTCAATCGCAACTTAAATCAGACATTCTCATTCAACAACCGAACGTTTTTGAAGACCTACAAGGACTTGGTGATGCCATTGAAGTTAAGAAATATGTTGACACTATCAAAGATCAGATAAAATACTTGAAAACAGCTGTTGAACATGCTATCGAGCTTAACAAGGATAGAATTCCAGGAAATCTTAATCGTAAGTTGACAAAAGATTTTCTTTTACTTCCTTCTTCTAATTTTATTTATTTCAACAGCGACTGATAAAGAAACGAGTGAAGAAATTGCTGATCTTCACGAGCAAATCATCAAACTCAAATCTTTGTTATCAACAAAACGTGAACAGATTGCGACACTTCGAACTGTGCTTAAATCAAATAAAAACACCGCTGAAGTTGCATTAAATAATCTTAAATCGAAATATGAAAACGAGAAGATTGTTGTGAGTGATACGATGTGCAATTTGAGGAATGAATTGAGAATTTTGAAGTCAGATGCAGCGACTTTCTCAAGTAAATTTTATTTTTGAATTTTTTCTTCTTCCAAATTAACTTTTCTTTTTATTTTTTGTTAAGGTCTCCGTGCAATGTTTGCAGCTCGATGTGAAGAATATGTCACTCAAGTTGATGAGTTAACGAACCAACTTTCAGCTGCTGAAGACGAGAAGAAAACACTCAATCAATTGCTTCGTCTTGCCGTTCAACAAAAGCTTGTGTTGACACAAAAGTTGGAAGAATTTGAAATGGATCGGTGAGTTGTTAAATGATGTAAAATATCAACAATTTATTCATGAATAATTACAGAGAATTCCGACATGCTAATGTACGTCGACAACCACCACAGAGAGGCTCAGGAAAATCGCCATTCGCTCGATCATCACCAGGCCGTACAACGAACAGCTCTAATTTCTTCTAACAGAAGTTAAACATTCAGCGAAAACTTATGGCCTTGGTTTACACACTTTTGAACATGTAGATGAAACTTTTATCTATGATCGTTTAAAAGTTGTGCGAATAACTTCTTTTTTTTGGGTTGAGTTGTGTTGTAAGTCGGGAAACTCAAATAAATAAAACAAAATTCATTACTTGTGGGCTCAACTTCACATACACACACAAACATATTTTACATAACTTTCCTGATCATCTGTATCATTATTTAATTAACACGGATGTTTTCTAAAGAAAAATACAAAACTTTGCGTCCAAGTGAAAATATTTAATTATAATCATAATACCGAGCCGACTTAAAAATATGAATGATGAAAACTATTTGACCAGAAAGAAATAAAAATAATTAAATAAATTGGATCACCGTCCCTTTAATGAAATCATGATTGAAGAGGAATCTAAAATAATAAAACTTTTCACCGTCCCTTTGATGAAAGATAAAAAAAATTATTGCAAAGAAGATAAACCAGCCAGATCCAATAAAAAGAGTTGTTTTAATTTAGTGATTTAAATAAGTTAGCTATTTACTTACTTAATGAATGATTCTGCCGAACATATCAAAGTGCAAGTGTCGCAAGAGATGATAAAGCACTAGAATTGAATTGAGAATTATTTTTGCAATAATTGAAGGAATTTCCGTGATAAAAATAGAAGAAGCATGTCCTGTAGTTGTTCGGTAGAAAAATCTTCAATATGATTAGAAACTCTTTTTTTTTCACTTCTTTTAATTTATCAAATAACTGCCTTTGACATTTTGTTACTTAAATATTCCATGAATAATAAAGAAGATTATTGGTGTGGGGATTAAAAATAATCATGATAAGATGGAATGGAGAGAAATATTCTTCATTCGTCTGTTAAAAGTAATAAATAGAAATTCTTGCGGCTCTTCATTGCAGAAATGTTGATTGACTTTACTGTAAATTTACATTGTAAATTATTATAAAAATTCAGTTCTACATCCCTGGATTTTCGAAACGATTCTCGATGATGATGAAGAGTCGCACGAATAACTTTAAAAGCTCCAAGAAATATAAATTACCCTGAAAGGTGAAACCATTAATAATGAACTTAATTTATTAATTCACTTAATATTGTATGAGATAAAAATATAGTTGGTAGCTTTTTTCTTACTATTCTTTCATCGTGTCTTTAGATTCGAATGATTTTATGATGAAATTATTAAATAGCAGCTTTTATAATGTTCAACTGCTCATGTTTCTTTGTATCTTAATAGATATTTGTGAAAGCAAGAAAAAACTCGGGTTTCATTATCATTTTAATGGAAAACCCTCTTAACGTCCTTAGAAAATATTAGAAAAAAGGAAGATGAAGATGAATAGAGATTAAATAATGAAAATAACTTAGAAGTTTAAACAGACTAAATAATTTATTTGAATTACTCAACATGATTAATAGAATTAATCTAAATATAAAAAGTAAATAATTAGAGGTCATTTTTTATTTTCTTCTTTTTTTACTTTTGAAATCATAAATTTATTGAGCTTATGTTTTTAATTAACATACACTGATAACATGACTTTTTTTACGATGGCAGTTTATTGATGTTGTGGTCCCTACCTCTGAATATTATGCAAAATTTACATCCAATAAGCTGAAATATTTCTTTTATTATCATAATTTTTTATTTACCTAATATAAAATAATATTTCGATGAAAAATTATTCCAATATTCTGTAAACTAAATTTGATTTGAAAATTAATAAAATTATAGAATTTCTTATCAGAAAAAAATTTGTTTTGTGAAGTTAACGCAGAAGCTGTTTTCAAGCATATAAATCTATGTTCAAGCATATAAATCTGACATTCTTATCAGTTTTTCGATTCAAAAGTTATCAAATGAGACTTTTCAACATGCGGTTCAGAAAATTTTTTGTGTAACTTTCAGATTTTTATTCAATTTTTTGGAAATAAATTTACAAAAGTTTTTTTCTTTCAATTTTTACCAGAAAGTTTTCAAGCAGTTGTTGATTCCTTTTCTTTACATTTCATGGCATCTTCGAAGAGTTGAGTATGATAAGCGATGTACTTTTGCTTTTCAGCACTTTTGTCCTCAGGAATTAAAAACATCTGACTTACAAGCCATGATCTTGCGAAGTTATCATTGTAAGCTGATTTTTCTAAAGTTTCTTTGATACAATCGGTGACATTGTCAGATGGATCACTGAAAAGACCAGTCAAGTAATCGAATTCGTCTGCGAAATGTTTATTGATAGTGAAACGCCAAATGGTATCACAATCCAGGCCCTCAACAGTCACGTTGTCAGGGTTCAAAATGACATCATAGGTGTCAATGGTGTCAATAATTTTTTTATCGACAAGATGAAGACGCCAGCAGTATCCTTTCTGAAGGTCTGTGATGTCGCTTGCTCTTAACTTTCCTTTTTCTTCGCTTGTTGTTGTTTCATTATTTTCCTGTTCTTCCCCAAACATATCTTCAAAGTCTAATCCATATATTCTCTCAGGATAACATCTTCCCACAGCTGCTTCTAGTTTGATCATCAATTTTTCAGTAGCCTCAGCTAAAGCATTTTGTCGTCTCCATTCTGTCATTGTTATGTCATGTTGAAAGACGTATCTCTTGATTAACATGTCAGAAGCTTCAAACAAACGAAGATTCTTCATGATGCATTCGAGTTGTCCGACGCTTTCGGAATCTTCCTCGACGAGCTTTTTAATTTCGTCATAATTTTTTGAACCGAAATCAATAAGAATGTTATTGCAAAGTTCCTCGTCAATTGGTGTAACTGAATAATTCATGAAGCTCTTGAAATCAATATAATTGTAAGCGCAATTAAAAAGATCTTTATCCTTTGATGGAGCTGCATTAGCTGCTAATACTAATGCAATAATGAATAATCCAATTGACAGCATTCTGTTGAACGTAAAATTAATAAAAATTTCTCAGCCAAATTTATTTTATGCCTTACTTGATAATCCTTTCGTGTCTTCTAACAAACTGATTTTGTTTTTATGTAAATTTCTGACTTTTATATAAAATTTGTTCACAAAAACCCGAAGTCTTATCAAAATCTTAGTTCAATTCTCACTCGGACACTTATTTCACTCGTTTGCGAATAGTCAGCAAGATTATAAAAGGTCAAGTGATCAAGAAAATGACGAATTTCTAATCAAACGCTGAGCTGTTGACAACAGTTTGTTGTTCGTGATTAATTTCATAGATTTTATTTAATAATTTGTTGCTTTTTTAATTCTCTCAAATTCATTGATTTAATAATTATAAAAATTGAATTTTTGTGATCTTTCATTGTAAAAGAATTTATGATGAAGAAATGGAGAAATAAAATTAATTGAAAAAATTTTTTAAATTCATTTTAAAAGGGTTGAAAAACAAATTTCTGATATCTTCGATGGTTTTAGTTTGAACAACAAACCTTGAGCGATATTCTTGACATAGATTAAGTAATACAATTTTCTCATTTTGAGTTTCGTAAAGTTTTTGCAACATATGTTCAAATATCGAAGATGGATGCGAGTAACAATGGAAATAAAAAGAAAGATGATATCGATGATTAAGGAAAAATTAGCAAAACACTTGTTTTCGTGCGTCAATTTGTCGAATAATATTGACAATAAAAAATTGTCATGAATTGGGTGCTTCACCAATATTCAACTCATTTTTCAGTAACTTTTCTAACGTCGAGGGATACAAACTTTAATAATTTTCATCTGAAATATTTCGAAATGAAGTTTAATATTTTAACTTTAATTTTCTTTTTGAAAACTTCGAGTATTTATTGCTTTTGGGGCCGCAACCAAAACGATTTAGTGCTTGTCGAGCAATGGAATAAATTGGATTTTGATTTTCCAACTCAAGAATTACGTGATGAAGCCATTGCCCAAGGATTGTTTGTAGCTGAAAATGCTTTTCCAATTGATGTGGATGTTGATTATGCAGGTAAATGATTCAAGGTGCATGATAAAGTTTTCTAATTTTTTTACTTCGATGCCTTCAGATGTTATTGATGATACAAGAATATTTGTAACAATCCCAAGATTTTCCACCGGAATTCCTATCACTCTCGGATATTTAACGATATCAAACAACGATGTTTTAATTAAAGCTTACCCCGATTACTCGTGGCATTCATCACATGGAGACGATTGTGATGGAATAACATCAGTTCTCAGAATAGCAATTGATGAATGTCGTCAAATGTATGTTTTGGACACTGGAAAAATTGGTGACACACAAAAATGTCCACCGCAGTTGTTGATCTTCAATCTTGTTGACAATAGTCTTGTGAGACGATACAAATTTCCTGATTCGCAATATGTTGGTGCGAGTTTATTTGTTACACCTGTAAGTTAATAAATATTTCGAACAGCAACTTATTCATGAAGTTTTTAAAAGGTTGTTGACGTATCAGATCCACCACCAACTGGAACATGTTCAAATGCTAAGGTTTATATTGCTGACGTTACAGGATTTTCTCTGATTGTCTACGATACTCTCACTGATACATCTTGGAAGATTCAAAATAATTTAGTGAGTGATTAAATAATTAACTGACTTCATTGTTTAGATAATTAAAATATTTTATCTTAAAGTTCTATCCATACCCAAACTTTGGAACATTTACAATCGATGGCGTTTCTTTTGATTTGATGGATGGGATACTCGGCTTAGCACTCTCACCGAATACTTCTCCTTACGAACGCTTTTTATACTTTCATAGTTTGGCATCTGGTGTTGAAAGTTCAGTGCCATTAAGTGTGATCAACAATCCTAGCACCTTTGAGAGTAATCCAAATGCTGAACCAAGAGCTTTTGTTGAGATTGGATCAAGGGGAATACAAACAGCTGGTAATTATAATTTATTTAAAAAAACCATCCAAGAATAAAATTAAAATTTTTCTTTTTAAAAAAGCTCAAGCGATGGATAGAAATGGAAATTTATATTTTGTTTTAATGGATCCATTGGCTCTTGTTTGCTGGGATTCTTCAACAACATATTCTGAAGAAAACATCAAAATTCTTGTGGAAAATGATGAGACACTTCAATTCGCAAGCGGTTTAAAAATTATTGAAGACTGTAATGGAGTAGAAGAGCTTTGGGTGATGACCATTCGTTTACAGGTAATTAAATGATTCATTAAAGTTTAATAATATAATTAACATTTATGATAATTATAAGAAAATATGGACTGGAACGTTGAACTTTGATGAGACAAATTTCCGCATTCAAGCTCTAGAAGTTCAGCAACTTTTGGGAAGAAATGGAAGGTGCAGTGGACGACCATTGAGATCATCACCATTTCAACCATTTTCATTTCTATTTAAATAGATTCAATGCATAGAATGTTTAATTGATTGTCATCAATTTCTGCAAGTTCGTCAATAAAAATNTTCAAATTTCAGGTTGGCGATTTTATTTGTGATGTTTAATCACAATTTCATTCTGATATTCACAAGTATCAAAAAAGTTTAATATTTGCTACAACTTTTAATTTTAATTAATAAATAATAAAAAATCAGCAAATAGCCAACTAAATAATTATACATACCTACAACTTTATGAAAAAGATTCTAAAAGATTGAACAAATAAATTCGAACTTTTCCGCTATTAACACGTTCGGAAGTGATCTCTGACCTAAGTAATCTGCTTTCCACTGAGAATGAATAATGAGAAAAGGAATTAAATTCACAAAATCTCCTTCACTGAGATTATTTCTAAAAATGATTTTGAACATCGCAGTTGTGCTAAAATTTTTGCTTATTCTTTTTGCGATAACGCAAGTTCATTCTGGTACCGTTGTTGGAGGACCAAACGCTGAGAACCTGACTTAATTTTTTTCTAAATGAAGAAACTGATGATTCACATTTCATTATGCAAATATTTTTATAAAAGGTTTTTGCTTTCAATCAATTATTTGATTTACTTAATTCTGTGAAGATATGAATGTAAAGTTCTGAATCCAAAGCTTTAAGAAAAAAGCTCGAAACTATAACAACATTTTTGTTTAATTTATTTGGATGTATTTCAAAAGAATTTATTTTATCTTTTCTTGCGCATCACCAGCAGACACACAGTAAAAATATTTATCTGTTCAGCCTTCTTTCCTGTTAGTTGTGCAACTAGTTTTAAGGAGATAAAAGCATTGATTTGGAGTTTTTTACACATTTAAAGAAACTGAAAATGATCAACTTTCGTCACAATACTTGCATTTCGGAAAATTTTCCTGATACGAAAGATTTTGAAAGCTTTAAAGCAATAATTGTGAAAAATTGCACCATCTAGAAAGATTAAATTTGTATGTTGTTTGATCCGAAAGATTATAAAAAAATAATTTGAATATTCAACTAAAATAATTTTAATAAGTATTTAGAGTTAAAGAGTTGATCGTTGTTTCATGTAGTAACTAACATAACAAATGAATGGTTCTTCTTTTTTTATAATTAAAGTTAAAATCTAAGCCCAAGTTTTGATTAAATATCAGTGCAACAGCTTTATCCTGCGCCTTTGCAATAGAAGCAACTAATCATCAATCAAAATCTGTTGTCGAATGATAAGCTTTTAATTCAGTAAAATGTTAGCAAGGCAAAACATTAATTTAGAAGTTTGAATTTCAAGACTCATTATTGAAAATGACATAAGTTAAGCTTTGATAATGAAATTTATGATTTAATCCGTTGTTAAGATAATTCCTGTTGATTCCTAAACTGATAAAGATTTATTATTTTCTTATCGCACAGTATGAGAAAGTGAAATAAATCATTTACAATCATGATAAGATTAAAATTTTATAATATTTTGATAAGATTCTGACCTTAAAGTGTTTTCAATTAAACCAAGATCAGTCGTAGTTAACTCTTCCATTTCAGCACTTCACACTTGCCGGTTTATTATTAATATTCTGAAAGTAAATCAATTAATCACAAATATCAGTTTTATACTTATTATTCATAATAATTTTGGAGAAACTTCAAAAATAATTAACAAAAAGTGGAGACAAAATTCAATTTGTGACTCCATAAATCGACCCATAAATTTTATCCGGTCAATAAATTTTCATTCAATTTTTTGTAAGATTCTTCGCTAAGATTATTTCTAAAAATGATTTCGAACGTCGCAGTTGTGCTGAAATATTTGCTTATTTTTTTTGCGATAACGCAAATTCAATCTGGTCATCTAGTAGAAGGGCCAAAGGCTGAGAACCAGTGTGGTGTATCTTTAAGTGCTAGTGGACTAATCTACAATGGAAAAGTGGTGAAAAGAAATCAGTGGCCGTTCTTGGTGGCATTGATGATGGTTGCCGATGGGAAGTTTTTTTGTAGCGGAACTCTCATTTCACGTAGTCATGTCCTGACAGCTGCACATTGCCTTCAAGAAAAGGGTCAGGAAACACCTTCAACACCTTCAGAATTCATTTTGCATCTCGGAAAATATAATTTGAGTCTTGTCTATGAATGCGGCTCAATCACAGTTTTTCCAGAAAGGATAAAAATTCATCCTAATTGGAACATTCATCAAGAGAAATATGATTCAGACATTGCATTAATAAAAATTGAGGGAACTGTCCCAATAAGAACAAATATTTTTCCAGCATGTTTGTGGACGTCTAAAATGGAAGCAATTGGTCATCAAACTGGAACTGTTGTCGGATGGTAATTTCTCTGATGTTTATTTATTGGTTTCCACTTAATTTATATCTGAAACTCAGGGGAGCAATCGAAGATCAATTGACAACCCAACATCAATCAATTCCAAGACAAATCGAACTCAAGATTGTTACAAATGAAGTTTGTTATGAAGACGAATTTATGGCAAGTTTAATTTCAAGTCGCACATTTTGTGCTATCGGTGAAAATGGAAGTGGACCGTGTAAAGGTGAAGTGAAAGAAACATTGAAACTTTTAACTAGGCTTTAATTATCGAATGATCTTTACAGGTGACAGTGGCGGTGGTTTATATATGAAGGATAATTCTAAATGGTTTATCAAAGGAATCGTTTCTTCTTCACTTTTTACTGATGAAGGAATGTGCGACGTTGAAAGTTATTCAGTCTTCACTGATGTTACAAAATTTACAGACTGGATAGATGGAGAAATAGAAGATGAGATTGGAATAGAAGCCGAAGATGGGATGGATGATATTGGAAAAACAGATGGATCTACGATGAAATGTGAATTTGTTCTAGAGAGCGGTTGGAGATATCACTGCTACCCAAAAAACCTGCTTATTCAACACCCTAATGTTAAAATAAAAACCATGGTTGGAACGCATTTAGGTAGACGTAATAACAATGATGTTAGGGAGTTTTCTGGCATAAACCAACAGACATCCTTTTTGCCACTTGGGATTTCAGAACTTTTCCCAAATTTGAGAAGATATTGTTATTTAAGCGGACGCTTGGAAAGCATTCAAAGAAGCGATTTTGGTGGATTTGAGCTTTTGGAAATTATTGATATTGGTTTCAACAAAATTTCTAATATTCCAGTAGACACGTTTTATGATTTACCGAAATTAATAGAAATAAATGTTCGCAATAGTCGGGTTACTTCACTAGATGTCGACTTATTTATAAACAATCCAAAGTTAGAAAAAATAATTCTTGAAAACAATGATATTGAAATTCTTGATGGACGTCTTTTTCGAAAAAATATAAACTTAAAAGAAATTCTAATGAAGAATAATGAACTCAAAAGCATTGATTTAGAATTGTTTACACCACTGAAGAAACTGACAGCCATCGACTTCCTTGACAACGTTTGTATCTCGCAGCATTTTCCTAAATCGATGAATTTGACAACACTTGAAGAAAGGATTAAGAGGAATTGTAGTTATGAGTAAGATTTAATTTAAAACTCAATCATAACAATTCCAAGGAAATTTATTGTTGATAATATAACGCTGGTTTCATTTTCTAACGGTTTTTTCAAATTTAAAATAAAATGCCCAAAAAGAAATATTGCCCAAAATGTTTTGTTTATGTTTAAGCTCATTGCAAATTTGGATAGGAAAAACAAGAAAATCTAAATTATGTATTCAAATATCAATGTAGGACTATTAGGTCATGTCGACTCAGGAAAAACAAGCTTATCAAAAGCACTATCAAAAATATCAAGTACTGCTGCATTTGATAAAAATCCACAAAGTCAAGAAAGGGGAATAACATTAGATTTAGGTTTTTCGGCTTTGAATGTAGAATGTTCAGAGTCATTGAAAAGTAAATTTCAGTGCGATAACATGACATTTACATTTGTCGATTGTCCTGGTCATCAGAGTTTAATAAAAACAATTATTGGTGGTTCACAAATTATTGGTGTGTAAATATTAAAAATAACTGAGAGTTAAAATTTATTATGGAATTTTACAGATTTAATAATTCTTGTTGTTGATATTCAGAAAGGCTTTGAGACACAAACTGGCGAGTGCCTTATATTAGGAGAAGTCACTCAGAAAAAAATGATAGTTGTGGTTAATAAAATTGACATGATTGAAGAATCAAAAAGAAACACAGCGATTGATAAAATGTCCAGAAAAATTCAGAAAACATTGGAAACAACTATCTTCAAAGACTCTAAAATTATTCCTATTTCAGCAACGACTGGAGTGAATATTGATGTTCTCATTTCTACTATGATTAAAGAAATTGAATTAATGGAAATGTCTAGATTAGTTAAAGCGCCTTTCATTTTTGTTTTTGATCATTGCTTTTCAATAAAAGGTTCTGGCACAGTTTTATCAGGAACAATTCTTCAAGGAAGCGTTAAAGTAAATGACACAATTGAAATTCCGCAATTAAAGATCGAAAGAAAAATCAAATCAATGCAAATGTTCAGGAAACCGGTAAACTCAGGATCAGCTGGTGATCGCCTCGGTATTTGTATAACAAATTTCGATTCGAAATTGTTAGAACGAGGCTTGTTATGTCAAAAAAGTTGCGTTCAACCAGCTTTCGTTGTAATAATGAAACTTCATCGGATTCGTTACTTCAAACGAGAAATTAAAACCAAAATGAAATTTCATTGTTCGATTGGTCATGACACAGTCATGGGAAATCTTTTAATCTTCTCATCTGAGGATTGTTCCGAGTTTGATTGGAATTCGAGTTATAATTATGAAGATATGATGGAAGATGATGTTCAACATCCACGTCATTATTTTGCTTTACTTGAATTCGAAAATCCTGTGATGATTCATAACAATATGTTGTTGATTGGCTCAAAGCTCGACACAGAACAGACTAATGTGTGTAGACTCGCGTTTCATGGAAAAGTTTTCATTGAAAACTCATCTGGCGATAAGAACTACCAACAAACATTTCTTACCAATCTCAAGATTTTTAAGACAAAATCTCGAGAAGGAACAGTTCAACGTGTCGTGAACAATCACGAAATTATCGCTGAAAGATTATTCAAAAAAGAAACTGACCGATCAAAGTTCATCGGAATGAAATGTCAATTGTCAAGTGGTGAGTTGGGAACAATATCTGGTGCATTTGGAGAGTCATCTAAAGTTAGAATTCAATTCATAAATCCACTTCAATCATCAACAATTGACACTTTAAAAACCTTTAAAAGTAATGTTAAAGTTAATTTATGTTTTAAAAAATTCATTTTTGATAAAAATCATCGAATGATTCAATAAAGACTGTCGAAAACTTAATTGTTGGTAAAATACATAATTTATTCTTCTGAGATTAATTTAATTCATTTTCCCAGACATTTTCCCTTATCATTTTTCTTTTTTCAATAATAAATAATTTCCCTTATGGAATGTTTACATTGACAAGTTGTTTCATTAAATAATTAATGATAGATTCTTAATTAATTAGAAATGAAGCAATTATAAATCCAGTCTATGATAAATTATTGTTTCCAGTTTATTATACTGCTTTTATTTTTGGTTTTTAAGAAATTCATCAAAGAGAAGAAAGAAAGAAAAGAATTTTAATTTTCCTTATGGAAAATTCAGATTTTTCTTTGAACCGGAAAAGTATTAAAAAATTTGGCTGTTGTCTGTTTTCTCAACATGTTTCTGTAGACACTTAAAAAGGTTGACTAGATTTAAATTCTTAATATTTGTATTTAATTTAATGACATTTTAGAATGTTAAAGAAGGAATGAAAGGGAAAGAATTCATTTTTTTTATATTCAAAGGGGTTTTGATTCGTCAGAAGAGTTTTTAAGGATTCCATTCGACAACAAAATATGCTAATAAGAAATCAATATCGAAAACATCGAAACCTAATTTAAATTAAATGAAAATAACAACAAATAATGAATGACCTACATTTCAATCTACAAAAATAGTTCACTAAATCATTTAAAACTATTTACAATGTCCGCTTTATAATTGAGATCAGAATCAGCGATGCTCAGTCATTTTAAAGGATGATAAAGAGAATTATCACAACAAGGAGCAACACGCTGAGAATGAAGATTGCTGTCCATTGTCTTCGATCATTATTTGACAACTGAAGCACTTTTCCCATTTTTCTCATTGTTGCGTCGAGTTTCGTTTCAGTTACATCAAGCTCATTTCCAAAATCATCAAGCATACTGAAAAAGCATGAGTTGCGTGACAAACAGAAATATAAATTCTTTTGAATAGTTAATAACTTACACTGCTTGCTCATCCACTTCAATCCCGATTTGTCTGCTCACAGTTTTTAATGTTCCAATCGAGTCGCTCATCATGTCAAGCTGTTCATCTTGTGTCTGAAGCATTCGTTGTTGAATTGAAACTGTCTCGCCTAGAAAAGCGCTATCGCCATCATAATTCCCATTATTGTGATGACTGGGACTATCATGAATATTCTCCAGTTTGCTGTATTTAGTTCCACTGTGTCTTGCTGCTGCCATTGTGCTCATTAAATTGTTTCCGATTGAAATGTTATTTGTTGAATTATTACTGTTAATGTTTGAATTGTTTTTTGGCGATGGTTCGTCCAAAAGTGGTTGAATTGCTGTGATATCTTTGTCCCGATTCTTTAAAATACTGATTTTATCTTTCATAGACTTAATTTCATTTTTCGTAGCGTTAATAAACTGTCGTCGTTGATTAAGTTCTTGTGAATCGATTTTATGTTTAGGATTCTTTTCAGCAATAACAATTGTGTCCTCTAAATCCTCAAGATCCCACTCAATCGACCTTAAAGAATTCCGCAACTCTGTCGTAGTGTAATCAAGATCGCCTGGATTTTCGTTCGTTTCGTCTTTCTGAAGCTCACGGTAGCGAAGGAAAAGTCCGCGAGTTTTATTTAATCCTTTGAAAACTTCACTGTAAGTGATTTTTGGAACATCAACACAATGTGAAATTGATATGAACGAACAAAAAATATTAATCAAAGTGAGATTTATACAGAAAATCGCAAAAAATTTGAACAGGAATGAAGAAAGAAAAATCAATAAATTTTCAGATGGAAAAAAATAAATCTGGAAATAAAATTAAGAAAAAATATAAATAAATAATAAAGTGAGACTATGTTATTGAACTTATAGATATTAAATTCTTACACTTCACATTTTAGATATAAATCCGCAGAAGAATTCATCACACTTTACAGAAAACTTTAAATTATCTCAGATTTTCATTTGCAGATGAATTTTCTTTCTTTTCCTCGAATTTTTATCGATGTTGCAAGGGGTGTAGAAGTGACACAAATGAAAGCCCACACACATTCTTGTACACCCCTAAAACGATATTTTTAAAATTTCACATAACATTTATTGCTGATAACGCATTATTTATTTACAAATGTTTCTGTAACATGTTCAATTAAGCCGAAATTATATTAATATTTCTATGAAAAGGGAAGTAACGTGATCTTTCTCTATAGACATGTGTCATTTTTTTTAATTATCATATCAGGTTTTATTATAAACAGGCCTTGTTTGAACAAAAAATAATAAAAAAGACTTTGACTTTGCTTCATTTCATTAACATCTTCTAGAATCTATTTAGTATCTAGCAAGAAAGTGACTAGACATGATCAAAACAACGTTTTTAATTTTCTGTTTGTTGGCACTGCAGTGTTACTCGGTTTTTTCGTCGGAACAATCAACAGGACCTCCTACTAGGACTACTACAAGACGAGTACCATGTACACTTTTGTGTGAGGAAAAGCAGGGATGCACTTCTTATGAGAATTATAACAGATGCAGATGTGACTACGATTGTTCTCCAACAACAACACCATCTTCATTACGTTAAGTTTTCAAGTGAAATGTACTTTTAATGACATTTGTATACATTCCAGTGTTATATTTTTCAAAATAAAGATTAAAAAAATCTTCTTGTAAAAACTGATGGGTTATCGCTAGATTTATTTGAGACAAATAGTCGTAAATAAATAACATATGGCACACATTCCGTTGAAACCGTTGAATGACAATGTCACATGTTTATGCTCTAATTGCCTAGATCAAACATGTGAACATAAAAATTTCCCAACATTTGTTGACAAATGTTATATATTCAAATCAAAAGTCAAATAATTAAGCACACACACAAACTAACAAAAAAAATCTGATTTATTGAGTAATTTTATTAATACCTACATACCTAATTTACGTTGGAAATCTTAATTTTTATGGATTCAAAAATTTGTTTCACTAAATTTCTTTGAATACCATGTTAAAGCTGGAAGTTTAAAGCTGTGTAAAAACTTGTCTTTAAAACTTGTTTCTATTTTACACATTGAAACTTTCAGAAAGATCTTTGTTGATTTCCACAAATCTCTTTTTCTTAATTCTTATTTTATATCTAAATTGAAGAAGATGTAAGCTATTTACCGAAGAACTTTTAAGCAAAATAACGCAAATTTGAGTTTGTTCTACAGTGAAAAAGTTTGAGTGTCACTGGTAAAACAGTTTGCGAATCTCTAAATTTTAAATCTAACCTCATATCTTTCGGGATTAGATTAAAGAGACTTTAGCTTAGCTTAATGCCTCTATTGCCCACACCAAAAATCCCCAAAAATTGCCGATGTAACGAGGTATTGATGCTAATAAACAAACAAATACGATTGACTTTAAAAACATTCACTCAAAAACAGATTTTTCTCAAATTGTAGGATAACTACAAATCCAAACAATAATTTTAAATAAACAAATTTGACTAAGAACTAGAATAGCTTTGAAAAAAATACAAAATACCTCATAAACATGATTGTTCCGAAGAAGAAGCCAACTGTGTAAATAACTTGAAAAATATCCTGAATAGTTCCTTCTACTTAATCATTCTATTTATATTTCAGAGATCTCGCTACAGTTCGTTGCCAGAAATGTCTTGATTATGGTCATTATACATACGAATGTAAGAACAAAAGAAAAATACTCATTCGAGATTCGAGAACAAAAATTTTAAATAAAAACTTGACAAAACCGCAATCAAGGTGAGTGTACAAAATTTAAAATTTGCTTACTTTTAAATGTTTCAATTTCAGCAGCAAAGATACAGTTCGTTCAGATTAACCTGTGAACAAAAAAGCTAAAAGAGCATCATCAAAATCGAGTTCTTCTTCAAGTTCCACCAGCAGTAGTTCTTCTTCTAGTTCTTCAAGCTCAAGTGATATCAGTGACAGTGAAAGTGACTCTGATTCAAGTTCCAGTTCAAGCTCATCAGAATGAAAGATTCTAAAAGAAACACAGAATTCACAATAAACGAAAATAACCGGCCTGGAAGTTTTTGTGGACTTACACACACATTAAAACTTTTTCATCATTTATTAGTGTTAGTTAACCTTATAAGTTTGTAGCCGAACTTCAGTTTCACACTTAGTTTGAGAAAAAATTATAAAAAATTTGATAAGTTTTAAAATTTAATAAAAAAAATCTGTATAAATTTGTATCTGTATATTGAGGCTTCTAAGATAAACATTAGGTATGTTCCGGATGGAAAATGCGAATCAACACGTAAAATATTTTACCTACGTTGAAAAATCTTTTAATGAAACTTTAACTTCAATATAAATCTTTATTCGTAAACTCTCCTGTATACTGAGCAGCGACAATCTTTCCTTCTAGGTAGAAGTTTTAATGGCCACGTATAAACCGCTCCCATAAAAATTCAAATACGCGTGAAATATTACATTTCAATTTTCATTAAAAGACCAAGAGTGGTAAATATTTCATTTGATGAATCTCATGTACTTATGTGTAGCGGGCGCAATAGACTTTCGGATCATTCAACCCTTGCAGGTGTTGATTTTCCACTCTATAGCGTCAATATCACACAAAACATTACGCAATAAATCAAATATAAAGGAATTCCAATCTCTTCCAGGAATTCTATTAACAAAATAAATAAAGTAAATAAATGTACATTCTCAACCATCTCGAGCTTTTTCTTCATGGTATAAAAGAAGAAGTATCGAATGATTAAATATCAGTTTTCGAATAGCAGCAGTTCATTAAACAATATAAAATAGTGAATTGTGTACCGTGAAAAACCATAGAAATAAAATATTAAGAGAGAGAAACCCAGAGTAATTACTGACCTATACATGCCGAAAGAAATCTACGAAGCTGAATTAGGTCAAGGAAATTATGAAAATCAAACCAAACGGTTCAAATGCTAATTCTACTTACCTAATAATTGTAGGTCTTTTTTGGTCACGTTGTAATCATCGCTAATATTATAGACGAAAACAAAACTAAGTTTGTCCTCAAGAATAAAACTATTACATATAAAGGATCCCATCGCATCATTTTTTTTACTCACTAACCCAGAAGTTAGAGAGAGAATTTCCCTCAAAGTTCGATAAGAACACATTATGCATCAAGTTTCGGTAATCAAACCAATGAGTAACGATGAGTTACCAAATGATTTTTATCGACATTGCAATAGTGGAAACGTGGAGCATGTTCATGATGCGATTATGAACAATGTGAATATTTATCAAACGTTCTCTGACATGAAATTAACACCGCTGCTTTTCGCACTTCATACGAAGAAGGAACATTTAGTGAATATGTTGCTCGACGTTTATGAACGTGATCTTGAAGTGTTGAAAGATACAAACTTCAATCGAGCATTCATGGCATACGAGTCTGATTTAAGTGATGAGTTTTATGCGTGTTGTGTTGAAAGATTCTCATCGGAAGCAGACATTGAACCAGTCCTCGTCAAAGTAAACAATCAAGAACTGCCAAAATGTTTCTACTTTCGTAAACAGCTGCAAAACAAAGATGATTCATGTTTGAGAGTTTTGAGAGACCTTGAACAAAAAAATGGATTATGTGATCTTAATTGGAGATTTATTTGGCCATTTCATCCTGATGACTACAAACATGGCGAATCTTATCTACAATTAGCTGCTTATTTTGGAATGATCAACGTTTCCAAGAGACTTTTAACAAACAAAACTGTTGACAAACACATGAAAAGGTTAAATTTACTTCCACTCCACTACGCAATCAATTCAAAAAGGATTGAAGTTGTTAAGGCTTTTATCGAATATTATAATAATGAATTTGTTGATGATAAATCGTTCTTATGGCATGCCGTAACATCACGAAACAGTGAAATTTACGAATTCATCGTTGGTGAAATGCTGAAAATTGGAAATTATTCATTGAAGGAAATTTATGCAATCAACTTTGATGTTCCAATCGTTTCCAGTAACGTCTTTCATTTGATTGCCTTAAACAAAAATTATAAATATTTTTTAAACCACAAACTTCCGATTAATGAAGTTGATGTGATTACACAAACCGGAAAAGGAAATACAATTCTACACATTCTAGCATACAAGAATGAATTCATTTTTTACAAAGATCATTTCATAAAGATCGCCGAGAAATTTCCAAAACTTTTAACAATTCAAAATGAACGAAAACATTATCCAATTCATATTCTTGCTATGAATTCATTTGAAGATGTTAAATTGGTTGAGGATGTTTATGAATTGACGATGAAAGCAACAGGAAATAGAAATTTCATGTTTCAAGACGTGGAACATTTTGTCGAATTGCTTACAAGTTTAATAGGAAGAACGAACAAAAAAGTATTGAAATTCTTTATCGACAATTCATGCCAATTGAATATTATTGAGGATTATGGAAATCGATTATTACACTACGCTATCAGATGTTGTCAATCGAATTTTGAATGCTTTAAATTTCTTCTTGAGTGTGAACCAAAAATCGATCCAAACGTTTTTTATGATGGTTCAAATGCATTCATGTGTTGCCTTGCTGTACCTAATTTTAATTTCCAAGTATCTTGTGAAATGTCTATGTTTGACGCTTTAACAAAACACTGCGCGATAAATGATGTAAATGTGGTTGATACGGGTGGAATATCGCTAATCATGTATGTAGCATCATTCTGCGAAGATTTAAATTTGATAAAGAAACTAATTGACATGGGGGCTGATTGTAAAAAAGTTTCTAACGATGGACGAACAATTTTCCATTTTGCGACATCAAATC